TAATTGTGTCTGTGAAGTACTGAAGAATGTGCTTGACCTGTAACGTCCAAACGTGTGGCCACCATTCACAGATAGTGTCCTTTGGGAATGGTGTGGGTATAGATGGGGAATGGTCAGTCCTACGAATATGGGGCTATAAGACAGCAAGGCTAGAAAGTATCTGTGCTTTGATTATTTAATTTTATTTATTTATTTATTTATTCATTTATTTGCACTAATGGTTTGCATTCACATTGAGGAACTGAGACTGTTTTTCACACTTTTGGCCTGCTGATGACCTTATGTTCATAAAAGGGTAGAAGTATAAGAAGTTGTTTAATATAAAACGTACTGAAATTTTATTTTCTGTCTCCTCGGATATAAAGTTTCCACTTATCTTAGGTTTAAGTACCTACTCCTCCACAGAGAGGGACCTTGTGCACATAGATTGATATTCTCAGGATGAAAGCAGTACCTTCTACAACTAGGGACTCAGAACAGGAAGACGGTGCTTGTTCCTGATGGCATGTAAATCTAGATTCACTTCTAGCTGGAAGGAGGCAGGCCAGAAATTCAGAGTTGTAGGTCCTTGGCTTGGGTGGATGTGCTACAACGTGAACCATAAACCTCCATCACTTACCTTGGCAGATAGAAAATTGGAATTTTGGAGGAAAGTTTCGCATCAGGCACTCAGACCCAATAAATACTCCCACTCCTTGCAGAGCTACCGAACACGGCACTGCATGTATCAGGCTACCCAGGGATGCTTGGAATGTGTTGACCGGAGCCACCATCAGCACTTGCTGATGACCCTTTGTGGTACCACCACTCACTTTCTGTACTGCATTCTTTCTTCTTCCTTCCCTTTTGTTCTCCTGCCTAGTGACACACCAGTGCAGACTGACTTGGTGCCCTGGTGCCTGCTATGGACTGAATGCTCATGTCCTCCCACATTCATATGTCAAAGCACAATCCCCAATGTGATGGTATTTGGAGATGAGGCCTCTGGGAGGTGATCGGGTTTAGCTGTTGTAAAGGTGAGCCCCCCGTGACTGGATTACTGCCCTTATAAAAAGAGACACAAGCGAGCTTTCTCACCCTCCTTCCACCATGTTAAGATACAATGAGAAGACGGCCATCTGTAAAATAGGAAGCAGGCCCTCACCTGCTGCAGGCAATCATAACACAATGAGAAGTATTGTGTTGGCACTATCTGGTCCAGGAGCAGCTGGACCTCCCAGAAAGACATGGGGTCGGCCTCCACCTGGATCCTGAACTTCCCAGCCTCCAAAAGCATAAGAAATAAACATCTGTTGTTTAAGCCATGCAGCTTATGATAACTTTTTATAGCAGCCTGAAGCTACTAAGATGGTGCCAAGACTGTAAGACGGCACTAGAAGAGACAGAATAAAAACACAGGCTCTTAAGCGGTCCAAATCCTGGCTCTGCCACTTGTCCACTATGTGGTTTTGGGCAAAGCTGAATCTCTCTGTGCCTCAGTTCCCAATCTGGAAAATGAGACGTCTATTCTACCAGGGTAGGGATGAGATGAGATCATGTGTTCAGTCAGATGGGATCAAACACATGGTAGAGGAACTTAATATGTGTTTATTGTTATTATAGCTGTGGCACTGAAAAAGTTGGGTTAAATAAAATGCAATCTCACGGCCGGGCGCAGTGGTTTACGCCTGTAATCCCAGCACTTTGGGAGGCCAAGGCGGGTGGATCACGAGGTCAGGAGTTTGAGACCAGCCTGGCCAAGGTGGCGAAACCCTATCTCTACTAAAAATACAAAAATTAGCCAGGCGTGGTGGCTGTAATCCCAGCTACTCAGGAGGCTGAGGCAGGAGAATCACTTGAACCCGGGAGGCAGAGGTTGCAGTGAGCCAAGATTACTGCTCTCTAGCCTGTGTGACAGAGCAAGACTCCGTCTCAAAATAAAATAAAAAAAAAAAAATGCAATCTCTCACCAGAAGTTGAAAATCTAGCCTGTGAGATAAACAGACACTTAATTGTAATATGTGGCACTTTGCAAAAAGTGACAAACGCTATTATATAATCAGTATATGGAAAAAACACCATGAAAGCTGCAGTAGATTAACAAGAGCTGCAAATTCCTTATCACTGCTTTCATCAAGAGCTGGAGTTCCCCTCCTCCTTGAAACTGTGACCTGTTGACAAACAGAATGAGGCTGAAACAACTCTGGGTGTCTTGCAAGGCAAAACCATGAGAAAGCTTGCAGCTGCTTCCTGATTCTCATGGGGCACTCCCTCTTGGATCCGAGCTGCCATGCTGGGAGATGTTACCTATGGGGGCTCCAGTTGACAGCCCCAGTTGAGCATCCACTGTTGGCCGTAGGAGTGAACCATCCCAGATAGTCCAACTCAGTCAGCTCCCAGGTGACTTCAGCTGTTCCAGTGCCCAGCCACACCTTGTGATGCAGAATGCCCAGTCAACCCACAGAACTGCAAGAGATGATACAATTGTCGTTTTCATCTTTAAGCACTAAGTTTTGGATGGTTAGTTATGTAGCCATAGATAAACCAAACAGGAGTTTAGGAGAGGAGAGTTCTTTTCAAGTCAAGTGATCATGGAAGGGCTCCTAGAAGACATGGGATTTGAGAATAACCTTGGAGGGAACGTCTGTGACAAGAGACTCACAGGAGAAGGTCATTCTAAAGAGAGGAATGAGTTAGAGCAGAACCCAGAGTGGGGTAAAGGTAGGCTGCAGACGGCACCTGGCAAATGGACCAGAGCTGCCTAAGCAGGGTGCTGGGAGAAATGGGCTAGAGCCAAGCTGAGACGGTTGCTCGTTCCAAATCATGGTGGCTTTGGGGACAGGCTCTTTTCATTGCCAGGAAGGAAAACTCATTCCTGCTCTTCCAGGTAAAGGGGCTTTATGGGAAACAATGGGATTTTATGAGTTGGGAGATAAGAATCTGTGGAAAGCATAAAAACTAAAGAGCAGCTGGACCTCCCAGAGAGATACCGGAATTGGAAGTTGCTCAAGATCCCCCAGTGGCCGCCTATCACAGGCACAGCAAAATCCTAAGCCCTTCACATGGTCTGTGGGGCCCACAGCATGGTGCGCTTGCCCTGGCTACCTCAATGATCTGATTTCCTTTCACTGCCTCCTTCACTCGCTCTGTTCCGGCCACACTGGATTCCTCACTGATGTTTGAACAGCATACTCTGGGTTCGGCACTTTTGCACTCATACATCTTGCCACCAGGATTGTTCTTCCAGATATTTACATGGCTCCCTCCTCTTCACGCAGGTCTCTGTGGTCTCCTCAAGGGTGACTGCTTCCTCCTGCCACAGTGCTCTTGCCTGCTCTATTTTTCTTCCCAACACAGTATTATTGCCTTTTTAAAAAATCTGGCTCGGTGTGGCGGCTAACACCTGTTATCCCAGCACTTTGGGAGGCCAAGGTGAGCAGATTGCTTGAGCCTAGGAGTTCAAGACCAGCCTGGGCAACATGGTAAAAAACCCATCTGTAAAAAAAAATACAAAAAATTAGTCGGGTGTGGTAGCGTGCACCTATGCTTCCAGCTCAGAGGCTGAGCGGGGAGGATGGTTTGAGCCCAAGAGTTGGAGATTGCAGTGAGCCACAGTCACACCACTGCCCTCCAGCCTGGGCGACAGAGTGAGCGAGACCCTGTCTCAGGGAAAAAAAAATACATATATATATATATATATATATATATATGCGCCAGGTGCAGGGGCTCATGCCTATAATCCTAGCACTTTGGGAGACTGAGGTGGGTGGATTGCCTGAACTCAGGAGTTTGAGACCACCCTGGGCAACATGGTGAAATCCATCTCTACTAAAATACAAAAAATTATCTGGACATGGTGGTGGGTGCCTGTAGTCCCGGCTACTCGGGAGACTGAGGAACAAGAATTGCTTGAGCCCGGGAGGCAGAGGATGTGGGTGAGCCAAGATCTCACCACTGCACTCTAGCCTGGGCAACAGTGTGAGACTCTTGTTTCCAAAAAAAAGAAAAAAAAAGATATATATATATAATTATCATTTGCCTCCCCAACTAGAATATATGCTCCATGATAGCAAAGACTGTATAATGCTTAGAAGAGTTCCTGGCATATAGTGAGTGCTCCACAAAAATGGTAGAAAATAGTGAATGAATAAATGAATCCCAGGCAGTCGCAGGGCTTGAGGTATCTTGTTACTTCTTAGCAGGAGGAGTTTGTGGATCTTCATTTTAATTCTCCTCCAGTGTTCTCTGCTTCCTGTATTCCCAGGCAATTCCCACCCCATCTACTCGCTAAGAGCTTTCTTCTCACAGCTCCTGCTAACTCATAACCACGGCTTACTCACAGCTCCCCTCGAGCTGCTACTGTGTTTCTTTGTGCATCTGTCCACCGTCTGTTCCTTCCGCTGACCTCCTGATTCTCCCTGGTTTTCCAGTTGAAGTTCCAGAAACAGAGAGTCTGATTAGGTCAGCCCATTCTCCATTTAGGCAGAGGTTCTGACCTTTAACTCTGGTCTGGGTCAGACATCCACATGGCTCCATCAGCTGTGACCACAGGCACAGAGCACAGCAACCTAGATACAGAGAACCATTGTCTCACTCAGCAGAGGCGCATGGATGCAGTGGGTACCTTTAATGACCTGTTGACAATAACTTGAGGCTTCTGGTCAGGGCAGTGATGGACCAGATCTATGTCTTCAGAAGGTAATTTTAATCACCCTGTGTATTAGTCTGTTTTCACGCTGCTGATAAAGACATACCCAAGACTGGGCAATTTACAAAAGAAGGAGGTTTAATGAACTTACAGTTCCACATGGCTGGGGAGGCCTCACAATCATGGCAGAAGGTGAGGGGCACGTCTCACATGGCAGAAGACAAGAGAAGAGAACTTGTGCAGGGAAACACCCCTTTATAAAACCATCAGATCTCATGAGACTTATTCACTATCATGAGAACAGCATAGGAAAGACTCATCCCCAATTACCTCCCACCAAGTCCCTCCCACAACACATGAGAATTGTGGGAGCTACAATTCAAGATGAGATTTGGGTGGGGACACAGCCAAACCATATCACCCTGTGAATAAGACAGTTTACTGATGGAAGAGGACACACAAGACCAGTTAGGAAGCCATAGGAAGGGAGAGCTGATGAGGACTCAAGTCAAGCCAAGGTCCATGACAGTGAGGAAGAGTAGGAGCAAGTGGGCCTTGAACCTGAAGCTGTCCACCAGGCAAGTGATGCTGGAGTTCAGCAGAGCAAATAGTCTGGAAGTCATAAAGGCATGATTTAAAATTATGGGGTGCAGAGCATAGCAACAGATTAGCTGAGATGGACATTTGGGGAAATCTCTTACATGTAAAGAGTCAAACAAAGAAGAAAAACCTATATATACTTATATAGATGGGCAGAGACTCAGCAAGTCACAGAACCCCATAAAAACAGAGAAGCATTTTCCCCACTTTCTTATTCTCAGCAACACCAGCCCAGAGGTTCTGCATGAGATTCCACTTTGTTCCAAGCCCCAAGCTTCAAGTCTGTTTTTCTACAGCCAGGAACATTATTTCTTGGGAATCCACAACATTCTAAAAATACATTCGCTAGGCTGCAGTGCCACAATTAGTAAAGCTGCTGTCCCAGGAAACCCTCATCATCATTTTGCTTAGATCAGAGAGCGGATTAACTTTGATGTCTGTCTGAACCCTGTGCGATACACCACTGGCGGTCTGCTCCCTGCAAGCATTCAATCTTCACATCCAAGGGAAGAGGAGAAAGTGCTGGAGAGAAGCCCAACCCAATTCTTTCCCCAGTGATTGAGATGAAAATATGCACCCTAGGGCTGCCAACATATCTGACTTGCATCCTATCTCCCTACATCCCTGGAGCTCTCTCTCCCTTTGCACAAATACGTTCCCTCAAACTCAAACCTCCTTTGCCTTTCCCAAACATTAGCACAGTGATGAAGCCCCAAGTGCTTTCATCCATGCCATGTGTAGGAGGTAATTGTGTTAATTTCTGTATCTGTTAGCACTCCTGGTGGCATGCCACTGAAACTGACTCCAATTTAAGTCCAAAGGGAGTTTATTGGAAGCATGTGCGGTGGCCTGCAGAATATAATGAACACTCAAGAATCAGATTGCAAGGGGAAACAACCAGGGAAGCTCCAGGATTACAGGCAAGTGGGAGGTATACGACAATCACATCAGAACATTAGCAACGGAAGACAGCTACTGCAACAATGCTGTCCATTTTTGCATCACTATTTTCATGGTCCTTATTTCCGGGAGAAAAAGTACAATTGGACCAAATGATCCAGTTGGATCGTCCCCACACTCAGGCAACACAAGCTCCCTGACATCACAAAGCATTGTAGATTGGTGGTTAAGAGCAGTATCTGGAACTAGCCAGGCTGGGTTTGAATCCTGGCTCTGCCATTTACCAGCCACGTGACCAAGTCATTCTCAGTATGCCCCAGTTTCCCTCTCTGAACATGAGGATACCTACCCATAGGTATTGGTGAGCACTCAATGAGCAAACCTGTGATACTGACTATAGAGGGCAAGTGTTCTACTAATCTTGATGTTAGTATTGATTAGGAATACACAAGGCCCCTGAAACTGCAGTCCGTCCAAAAAGGCCAAGATGAGAGGTCATTCTCCAAAAGACATCAGGAGCTTTTATTAAGGGAAACTGGGTGGCCAAAAAGCAATTACAATCCTCTGCTACATCTTATCCCTCCACCAGACTGTGGACACCACGAGGACAATAGATTCTGCTGTTTTCCTCATAGTTGTGTTCGCCAGCCCCTGAAAAGTGTCTGGCATGTTGTGCCTGGCTCAATGAACCACTATTGAATTCACAAATATTGAATGATTCCTTCTGTGTTCCCAATCAACTAGTCCAATGTTTTGCGTGGGAGTAGGCACACAGTAAGTATTTGCTGATTTAACTGATAGGTCAGTGGGAAAAGAAAAACTGGAGGAGTGTGGTTTTCTCAGAAATGGGGAAAACATTGGAATCAAAGAGATGAGCTTGCATTTGGCAGGACTTGGTGGCAAGTAAGTGATAGGTAACTGTTTTCTGGTGTGTTGATGTCAATTATCTATATGAATGATCTAGACAACCTAATCATTTCTGCTGGTCAACTAACGCCTTTAGATCAGCATCAAGGAGATGAGAGAAACCATGAGTTACTTGGCACATCACCTTGGAGACGGAGAAGCTCATTTGCCCCAATGGACTTGTCTCTGTCTTAGAGGCACTCCCGGTACCTCACCAGGATGCCCTATTCTCCTGGCAACCCTCCTTACTGGCTTGCAGGTGCCTGTGAGTAGGGCTTGGCTGGCCATCCTGCCAAGCTTGCTCATGGAGACAGCAGGATCTCATGGAGGAGCATATCAGGTCAGACATCACAAGACCTAAGACCTCGGACAATGCTGTGTGACCTCAGGAGAGTTCTGGTCTCTGGCTGTCAGTGACCAGATCTATAAAACAGAGTAATCCTTGCCTTGCAGCTCAGGGAGGTGTTATCCAAGTGGAGTCACATCCTCAGAGATTTCATCTGGAACTCCTTCTGTTGTAAAAGACAGAACCCAACTCAAACTGGCTTCAGAGAAAGGGGGACCCTATTGCTCATGTTACTGAGCAGTCTAGGAGTAGATCTTCTTTGAGATACAGCTGGCGCAAATCAACATTAGCATCTGATTTCTCCCCATCTCTCAGCCCTCCTTCTGCTGTACTGACTTCCTTTTCAGTCCCTAAATGATGGCCCCCAGTAGCTCGAGTCTCATTCGCTCAAGTTCAAATCCAACTTTCCAACAGCTGGGATAGACTATGGTTGGCTCAGCTTCAGTCACGTGGCCAGGAGGATGCAACTACATTGGGTGTTCAGGACTGATTCCCAATCAGTACTAACCTCAAGACTGAGTCCTGGGTGCCAACCAATCCCTGTGATAAGGAAGCTTGGTCAGGCCCTTATGCTTAACTCTCAGAGCTGGGAAGAAGTAGGATGAGGATGGGGAGCCCTAGCTTATCTCATGGAGTAAGAGTGGGAAAAAAGTGGGTCCCAGAAAGATATTTGGGGTACTATTCACAGAAAAAAGGGAAGTGGCCACTGGGCTGATACAATGTAGATACCCACTACACCTGGGTATTTTCTTTCTTTTTTTTCTTTTGCAACAGAGTCTCACTGTCACCCAGGCTGGAGTGCAGTGGTAGGATCTCCGCTCACTACAAGCTCCACCTCCCAGGTTCCAGCTATTCTCCTGTCTCAGCCTCCCAGGTAGCTGGGCCTACAGGCATGTGCCACCACACCTGGCTAATTTTTTTGTATTTTTAGTAGGGACGGGGTTTCACCATGTTGGCCAGGCTAGTCTCGAACTCCTGACCTCATGATCCACCCACCTCGGCCTCCCAAAATGCTGGGATTACAGGCGTGAGCCACTGTCCCCCGCCCTCACCTGGGTATTTTCTATCGTGTGATATAAAGCCGGTGTCACAGGTTCCCTCTGTGTTATGAAGTCTTCTGTCCTCACCCTAACAAGCTCCTGGAAGTGCCCGAGGAGCAGCTGCCACACTGCAGTCATCTGTCTTCCTCCTCTGAATTTCTGTAGCCCGCAGGACCATAACACGTGTCGGCAGCAGGCCATGTCGGTCATTAGTTATCTTCTTATGGATATGTTCTATCTCTTCATCTATGTGACAGGATCCTGGAGAGCAGCGGTCACATCTTATTCATCTTCGTGTCCCCTTAGCACTCTGCCTGGTGTTCGGGGCATGGCAGATAGTCCATGAATCTGGGGAGAGATTGGATAACTGATTTACATGCTTCTGGAGCCACAGAGGTAGACGGTAGCTTGATGCAACTACAAGATTACAAAGACAGAGGAAACCTGTCCTCTCCAAGCTATTTTGAAACGCTTGTAGATCTGTCGTGGCCTAAATAATGCTGCTAGGGTCAAGATAGATATCTTCTTTGCTCCTCAGGCCCAGCTGCTGGCATGATTCCTGCTTATAAAGGCGTGGAGGCCCAAGGAATCTGGGTCTCAGCTGCGCAGTCTCCCTGTGCAAGTCACAGTCAGGCACAGCCCACCTGTAAGGGCAGTGAGGTGCAGAGGGCAGAGGATGGCAACTTGAGGAAGAGGAAACAGGTATCTGTCCTCAGTGGCCCCCACCCAGACAGTATGGCAGTGCTCCGTGGCCCCATGGATGGAACCGGACGCTGGCTCTCTGCCTTGGCCAAGGCATCCCAGCACAGGCAACAGGGAGAGGATGGGATGGAAAAAGAGAGTAGCTCGGATGCTGAAACAACGTTCCTCCTAGGCTAGTCTTGGTGCAGAAGCCCCGGGGCTCCGGTTTTAGAATCCACCAGCAGACCCTCTCGGGCCAGAGATTTGCCCCTTTGTCCCTCATACGTACAAACCTCCCTCAAGAAGGACGAGTGAGTCGTCCAAAGCCGCGCAGCGGAGCAGCGGTTCCCTCTCCTATAAACTAAGCCGACTGACACAAGGATTAATTGCGCAAGCGACAGAGAGCATCCGGCGCACGGCGGACAGTCGCTAAATAAGAAATTAATGGGGGATGGACGAGAAAGCTGGCTGGTTAAGAAGGGGATGGTAAAGGAGGTCTGGAGGGTGCTGGGTGGAGGTGCTGAAGGAGGAACCGGGCCGAAGGAAGGAAAGCAGACAGAACAGGGCCCGCAGGAATCGGGCGCAGCAAAACAGCTCCAACCTCAATCCAACGCCAGCACCTGGCCAGCACAGCACGGAAGCCCGGGGAAGGTGGAGGGCGGGGTCCGAGGCTCCGCCTGTGACCCCACCCCTTTCATGGCCCCGCCCCTTCCAGTCATGAGGCCCCGCCTCTGAGTCCACCCCTTCCTCGGTCCCCGCTTCGCCCCTCCTCCTCGTCCCTCCCCCAAGGCCCGGAAGCGAAAGCCTCTCAGCCTCTTCCCAGCGGGGTCACGGGCCGGCTGTCGGTAGCCAGGTTTCCGAGAGTGCGGGGCGGTCGGCGGGTCAGGGCAGCCCGGGGCGCAACGCCATGTCCCGGAACCTGCGCACCGCGCTCATTTTCGGCGGCTTCGTCTCCCTGATCGGCGCCGCCTTCTATCCCATCTACTTCCGACCCCTAATGAGATTGGAAGACTACAGTGAGTGATCTCTGACCCCGTGCGGTGACCTGACCCCCCCACACACACCTCCCCCTCCGTCGGCTCCACGTGGTGCCGTGGAAAGAACTTGGCTCGAGGGTTAGGGAGAGCCAGGTTCGAATCCTGCCATGTGCAGCTTTGTGACCGTGGACAAGTTGCTCAACCTCTGGGACCCTCAGTATCCTCATCTGTGAATATTAATAGCTACATCATCTATAGTAAAGTGCCGAGCCTCCTGTGAGACTCAGGTGGTCATGTATATGAAAGCAGTCCTCTCATAAGTCAACGCTAAGTACTAGTTCATATTTACAGTTAAAATTCACTGCATGCCTATTATACGTCAGGTTAGGCATATGTTGGATCGTTTCATTTGCACAAGCTCACCTTGAAGTGTGTATGTAAAGCATACCCATTTTACAAATAAGGGAACTGAGGCTCAGAGGTTTTATAACGTTCCCAAGGTCACACAGCAAGTAACAAGGCAAATATATCCTACCCCAGGCCTCTGTCCGGAGTCTTCTTGGAGCATTTAGGCTGGAAATGGTGACTGGGGGAGCCAGATGGAACCCTGATCCTCCTGAGCAGAAAGGTGCTTTTACTGCACTTCATTTCCACTCCCAAAGATGTTTTTTGAGCGGGACTGTTTCAAACCCAAATGTTAACCTGGGGCTTTTAGTTTTTTCTCTTCTTTTTCCTCAAATTGTTTTTCCGATTCTGCTGGTTTCCTTCGTTTTAAGCCGGTTGCTCACATGGTAATGGTGAATATCCTGGGAGTAATTTTCCTTCTTAATCATTCCAGTCCTATCATTCTAACAGCCAAACTCTTCTTCCTTGAGACCTATATCTCAGCAAGGATTAGCACTTTCATACATCTGAAACCATCTGTCAGAGAGAAAATATTAGGCATTAGAGGCTCATTTTTGTTCACCAGGAAACTCGAATCGTCTTGAAGATGGAAGAGGGCCAACCCTGCCCTTTGGGAATATTAACGGACCCTGAAAGCTTGGCGAATTGAAGGCGAAAGCTCCGTGTAAACGTTCTGCCCATTGCAAATGTTACAGCAGTCGGTTTCTGGAGGCAGAGCGTTTTAAGTGCCCACTCAGATTTCCTTGTAGCTTCTTCTGATTAGCCAAGACTGAAATGGCCACTGTGTTCTGCTTTCCAGCTTGTCTGCATGCACCATGTGTGGGAGTAAGGTGGGCTGTGTGATGCCCTGTGGGATCTGTTGCCACCATCCTTCCTCACCGGACGCCTGCCCCAGCGATTATATTAAGGCCACTAGAACTTGGGACAAAGGGTCTGCTTTGCATCCCATTGGAAAAGTCAGTTCTGCAAACTAGAGCTGTTGGTTCTTATCTAGGAGTGATTTTGTCTCTCAGGATATTTGGCTCAATCTGGAGACATTTTTGCCTGTCACAACTTGGGATGCGGGTGTCGAGTGTTGCTACTGGTTTCTTGTGGATAGACGCCAGGGCTACTGCTGAACTTTTTGCAGTGCATACAAGACAGACCCCCATGACAAAGAATTACCCAGCTTAAAGTTCGAGTGGTGCCTTGGTTGAGAAACCCTGCTTGAGGTGAGATGGTCAAGATGTGGGCGTGTACTGTGTATCCTAGTAACAGTCTTTTAGGGATACTCCAGAATCTGTGGTTGTCTGAATGTCTTGAGACAGACAAATCAGGTGATGTTCATCTGTGGGTGAACATTTAGTGAATGTACCTATAATATCTGCATGTTTAACTGGAAGGCAGTCTGTGCCTTCCCGCTTTTCTGGTCCTTTTTTTTTTTTTTTTCTTTTTTTCCGCTGTCACCCAGAGTGGAGTGCAGGGGCCTCATTTCAGCGCACTGCGGTCTCCTCCTCCCAGGTTCAAGCAGTTCTCCTGCTTCAGCCTCCTGAGTAGCTGAAGTTACAGGCGCCCACCACCATGCCCAACTCATTTTTGTATTTTTTAGTAGAGATGGGGTTTGGCCATGTTGGCCAGGCTGGTCTTGAACTCCTGACCTCAGGTGATCCACCTGCCTTGGCCTCCCTAAGTGTTGGGATTATAGGTGTGAGCCACCATGCCCAGCCTCTGGTTCCATTTTGATTAATTTGGCCAACTCTGTTCTGGGGATCATAACTGATTCTTTTTTCTGAGACAGAGTCTCGCTCTGTCGCCCAGGCTGGAGTGCAGTGGCATGATCTTGGCTCGCTGCAACCTCTGCCTCCCGGGTTCAAGCAATTCTTGTGCCTCAGCCTCCCAAGTAGCTGGGAATCAGGTGTGCACCACCAGTCCTGGCTGATTTTTGTATTTTTAGTAGAGACAGGGTTCTGCTATGTTTGCCACATTGGTCTTAAGTGCTTCACCTCAAGCGATCTTCCTGCCTCAGCCTCCCAAAGTGGTAGTGTTACAAACTGACTGCTGTAACATTTGTAATGGGCAGAGTGTTTACACAGAGTTTTTGCCTTCAGTGCCGGCAACTGATTCTTTTAAACAGGTAAATATTGCTGAACAGGTAATATTTGTGGGAAGTTTACTGTATGTTTGGCACTCTTGTAAGCACTTCCTATGTATTAACCCATTTAGTGTTGATAACAGCCCTTTGTGGCAGCTGCTATATGATCATCATCCCCATTTTATATGTGGATAAACTGAGGTGCGAAACAGTTAAATTACTTGCACAAGGACCCACGGCTGATGAGTCACAGATCTGGGACTTGAATTAGTATCCTTAATCCCTAAACCAAGACAGCATACTGCTTGTCTAAGGGGGCAAGAAAAGGCAGTAGGGGAGATGAGTGTCTACATAGCCTACTAGATGAATGACCCTCATCTAAGTTACTTCAGCTCTCTGAGCCCTGCCTGTTTCCTCATCTGTAGCAGTGTAGTTCACTGGATTGAATTTACAGGGTTTGGGGTGAATTAAATGAGGTAACAGGTGTGGAACACCTAGTATAGTCTTATATTAGACATTTCATTAAAATGTTTACAAAATAATGAGCCACAAGGGCAGGAATGTGAGACATGGAGATTTTAGCAGGTGGATAGGCCTAGAGCTGCCTGACCTCGCAGTAAACTGGGGTGAGGTGTTCATTATCAGGTCACGGAAACCCACTGTGTGGTCGGAGCTTCAGCTCATTCCAACACATTCAACTAGCATTTATTTAGCATCTCACTCTCTTTTTTAGAAGAAACCTGGATTGTGGCAGTCGCTAGGTACCTGGCACTGTGCTGGGTGTGGGCTGCACCTAACCAAACAACATGGTCAGTCACTTCCTTCTATCGTGCTCTTCCCACCCTTGTCCTGTCCACCTCGCTCCACCCATTCCTGGGACTGAGCTGCTTCCATTGTGCCCCACCTACTGCCCATTCTCTACCTAGCAGCCACAATGGTCTTTTCTGGTGACTTTTGGTTGCTGGTCTCTATCTTATTTGCATTTGTGGTCAGAGAACGTGGACTATATGATTTTGATTCTCTGACACTGGTCAAGATTTGCTTTGGGGCCTGGTACAGGTCAGTTTTTGTAAATATTGCCTCTGTGCTTGGAATGGTGGCTGTTGTTGGGTACAGAGTTCTGTATCTGTGTATGTTAATTACAGATCAAACTTCTTAATTCTGTTTGAATTTGGACGTCCTGCGGCCATGTTATTAGGTGCGTACAATCTAGAATATTCTGGATAATTTTTTCTAAGTATTATTATATAAGAATTCTCTTTATTTCCACTGTTCTTCCCCATCTCTATTTTATCTGATTTTATTGTGCTACCGGATTCCTTTCTTTTTTTGTGTTTTTTTTTTTATTTTTGAGATGGAGTTTTGCTGTTGATGCCCAGGCTGGAGGCAGGCTGGAGGCTGGAGTGCAATGGCGCAATCTTAGCTCACTGCAACCTCCGCTTCCCAGGTTCTAGTAATTCTCCTGCCTCAGCCTCCCGAGTAGCTGGGATTACAGGCGCCCACCACCACACCTGGCTATTTTTTGCATTTTTTAGTAGAGACGGGATCTCACCATGTTGGCCAGGCTGGTCTCGAACTCCTAACCTCAGTTGATCCACCCACCTCAGCCTCCCAAAGTGCTGGGATTACAGGCGTGAGCCATTGTGCTCAGCCCAGATTTCTTCTAATATTTTCCTGGCTTATCTGTTTCTCTCCTCATATATGCAGCCTTTGTCCTTATGTGAATATCTTAGAACTAACATAAACTAGATATTTTAATCTGACCCGTTAATCTCTTTTAACTATTAGATTTGATTAATTTTAATTTATTCTATTTACTGACATGTTTGCATTTATTTTTCTCACCTTATTTTGTGTTTTCTTTTTTTTTTTTTTGAGAGAGAGAGAGAGAGTCTTGCTCTGTCACCAGGTTGTACTGCAGTGGCAAGATCTTGGCTCACTGCAACCTGTGCCTCCTAGGTTCAAGCAGTTCTTCTGCCTCAGCCTCCCAAATAACTGGGATTACAGGCGCGTGCCGCCACACCCGGCTAATTTTTGTGTTTTTCTGTATTTTAGTAGAGATGGGGTTTCACCATGTTGCCCAGGCTGGTCTCAAACTCCTGAGCTCAGGCAATCCGGCGGCCTCAGCCTCCCAAAGTTTAGGATTACAGGCATGAGCCACTGCTCCCAACCTTCTCTTCTATTTCTATGCTTCCTTTTTTCTTCTTTTCTGCCTCAAGCCTTCTTTATTCTTCTCTTCCCTCTACTAGTTTGAAAGTTTTAAATTCTATTTGTGTTCCTTTGTATAAAGTTTAGAGTTAGCCAGTATCTTTACCCTTGAACAATACAAAGTCCTTATAATGCCTTAGCCTTTGTCCCATGCACCTTTCATAATATATTTGTCCTGCCTGGTGCCTATCACTCAGCAAATCAGTTAACACCAGGACTATTGTATCTGGTCACTGACTGTTTATCTTCACCTGCGTTCTTTACCTACCGACCCTTCTTACATCTCACTCCTTTCTAGCTTCAGTTTTCTTCCTTCTGACATACATCTGTTACTACTTCTTTGGTAAGAATTTGT